TGCATTCTACTGAAATTGAAGCTTCAAAATCTTACTGTGAAGAAAAGAAATATTATGATTAAGCAGAGTATACCTTTCCCCATAAAATAAAACAGAGAAAATCAAAGTGAAAATAAACTTTACCAAATTAAGAAAGAAAAAAAAAATAGGCACGTTTCCGAATTTGTATATGTCTAACAAGAAAAGATGACTGGAAAATATGCACATGCTACATCATCAATTGATTTAACCTACCCTTTTGTATTTATTATAAATCATTATTAAACTGTTTCATAACAGTTTTTATAAACTTTAAAAATGTAAGCTGCAAAGTTAAAATTAACAAATTTTGTCCTGAGGTTTGGTGACTCAAATTATACCTTTTGATACATTTCTGCTTGAAGCTGCTTCTCTATTTCTTTCTTATATTCATTAAGTTTTATCTCCAAAGATTCAAACTTCTGATGCTGGGGATAAGAGTCTGCAAACTGTTCATCAATCATCTGAAGCTTCTCAGCTATAAAAACACAAGATTTGAAATACTTTTAATTAATCAGTCACCACAGCTGTCCTACCAAAGACTGCAGAGACTTGTTTATATAAAGCTCCTTAGCGCACAGGAACAGGAGCATCACCAAAAGATCCACACAGTAAAACAGCCATGACAGCAGAGAAACAACATGGAGTAACAACGCTTGCAGTTCCCTTTACATTTTCTTGAATATACTTCAGCATATAATGTCAACAATTTAACTGAACACCTAAGAAAACATATGAACAATAATGGAATTGAGAATAGGGCTTTAATCTTATTTTAAGAAAGGTGAGAAAAGAATGTATGAGTGATGGGTACAACCTTCTTTATTACTATATGAATAAATGATGAATGAACTCCATTCATCCAGTTTATTCATCCTTACCATTTATCCAATACTAAAACATTGGTGAATCCTTGCCTGCAAATGCTGCACTTACCAAGTGACTCTCTGTAAGGAGGCATCAAGCTTGTCTGAGTTTCTGTG